TGTTGGTCTTCTACCCGCCATAAACCAGAAGAAGAAGAAGAAGCCCCGCCTCTTCCGTCATCAGTTCCTAACAAACATGGCGTCTCCGAGCTCCTCCGCGGCTCTCTGGGCCGCTGTCCCCGTGGTTCTGGCGGGTTTCGGTTGGTGTTTCGTGGCGGACTCGGTGGTTCCGGGTCCACTGGTGTGTCTGGTGGTTGTGTCCGTGGTTCTGGCGCTGTGCTGGCGGTGGTTCCGGCGGCGGAGCGGCGGCACGGAGCGGCGGGTGTGTGTGCTGGTGCTCGGGGACATGGGCCGCAGTCCTCGGATGCAGTACCACGCCTTGTCCCTGAGCAAACACGGTTACCTGGTGACGTTTGTGGGCTTCTCAGGTGAGTCCCTTTAAACCCGATCTGATAGGTTCAAACCGACACCTGCTGCGGACCAGAACCACAGCCCAAAGTCAGACCGAGCCTTGGTTCTGAAGAATCAAACTACGAACTTCTTTCAGACACCAAACCTCACCGGGACGTCCTGGACCAGGACAACATCCAGATCCGGTCCATCTCTGAAGTGAAAGGTGTTGGAGGTAAACAGAACCCTGGTTCTGGTTCTGATCCGAGTGTTTSTGCAGCAGAGATCCACAAACTGTTGGGTTTTCTTCCTCCTTCAGGACCCAAGCTGCTGACCTACGTGACGAAGACCATGGTCCAGTTCCTGCAGCTGCTTCATGTTCTGCTGACCATGGATCTGCAGGACCACATCCTGATGCAGGTCCATCACAGAACCAGAACCACAGGTGTGAAGGTTCTGCCGARCTCTGAACCTGCTGTTTGTTTCCAGAACCCTCCGGGTCTGCCCGGCATGGCGGTGGTGTGGCTGGTGAGCGTCCTGCGAGGCAGCAGCTTCATCATCGACTGGCACAACTACGGCTACACCATCATGGCCCTGAGCCTCGGACCCTCACACCCTCTGGTCCTGCTGGCCAAGTGGTGGGTACCCTCCAGACCCGACCCACTTCACATCACTGGTTCTGTTTGCTGAGGTCCAGGTCCCTCATGGACCACTTGTTCTTACTGAACCGTGGCGTACAACTGAATAATCACTGAGAACACCTGAGGCTCCGCCCCTGATGCCTGAGGCTCCGCCCCTGATGCCTGAGGCTCCGCCCCTGACACGCCTTCATCTACCTGTTACACATGTTAATGACTTCCTGCAGGTGTGAAGAACATGTGATCAGACAGTAAAGTACTTCCAGTGTCATTTTGGAGAAATGTACAACAACGTAAACACCAAGTATGAAACAGCTCCACCACAGGTGTTGTATGAAGTTCAGTTCCCCGTGTCAGGAGGGTCTCCCTCACATCAACCATTAGGACTGTACTGGTGTTATACAGGACCAGTGACTCTCTAAGGTTAACCAGTAGGAGGAACAGATTTTCACACATCACCAGTCAGGATGGACCACCATCACTCAGCCTTTAGGATCACATGGATGAGACCGTTCCATCGGTCAGCTTCAGCTGTAGGTGGACTGGACTGGCTCAGTCCTGGACTGGCTCAGTCCAGCTCCCTCTGGAAGCTCCTGGAGTTGAGGTTGTGCACATTTCCACCTTCAGTTCAGTTTTCATACATCCAGAGTTTTGTCTGGAAAATGATGGACACAAGGTTTTTGTGTACACACAAGGTTTTTGTGTGTACACAAGGTTTTTGTGTACACACCATTGATACATGAGGACCTGAAGGTCAGGGTCTGAAGGTCAGGACCTGAAGGTCAGGGTCTGAAGGTCAGGACCTGAAGGTCAGGGTCTG